ATACAACAGGTGTCTGGAAAAATCCGGGGATGCATAGCTTTAAAAGGTTGATATTTCTGTATATGAGTAGGTACACATACATCTATGCTAGTACTAGAAAAGCAAGCTTGTAAAGTTTATGAATATATTTTGAACCATTTGTGAAATACCCACAGAGCTGTATGATGCTTTGGATTGCTTGCTAGATTCTGGGGACACCTTCTTGTGGCCTTTCAATATAAAAAGAGAGCTTATAAGAACTGCGGAGAGAGACTTTTTACCAGGTTTTGTAGTGACAGGACCAGGGGCAAGGGTTTTAGATGGAAAAAGAGTGGACTTAGATTGGACATAAGAAGACATTTTTTACAATGAAGGTGGTGAGACACTGAAAGAGATTGCCCAGAGAAGCTGTGGGTGCCCCATTGTCCTGGTTTTTAGCTGGGACAGAGCTAGATTGATAGCTGTGAAACTATCCCACAGCCAAATAGGACACATGGATAAAATGAAGCTGAGGTCACTTATTTACTTCAGCCTGTGGTCTGCCTCTCCAGATTTGTTCAGCTTGCTGAATGTGCATCAGTGAACATCCTGATGTTCTCCTACAGGATGTGTCAGCCTTCTGCCAAGTCTTGGTATTAAGAGAAGGGAATTGGAAGCTTTATCAAAATTGTTTGATTAGTCAAAATAATGTCAGCTTTTGAGAGCATGTTTTCAAAATTTAAATAGTTTTGAATAGATCAAATATGTTTCATATAATTATGCATTAGTTTTTATTTTCTTAGTTAATTTTATTTTCTTAGTTAAAATTTATTATTATTACAAGCAATTACTGTCTTTTTGAAAAGTGGTATTAGATTGGGTGCCATTCTAGGCAAATAAATAGACAAAATTGTTTGTAATTTTTTTTTCTCTTTCTCAGGGAATTTTTACGCTTGGGCAATCCTTTGAATTGCGGAGCTTGGGACAAAAAGCTGTTGAAACAGTACCGAGTGCACAAACCCAGCTCACTGAGTTTTGAACCGGAAATGAGAAGTAGGTGCTGAAGTGCTAGAAATTTGCATGAAGAATGCTTCACTGACATCCCCCAATCGCATACTTACATAAAATTTGTAGATAAGCATCCAGAAGAACCTACATTTGCCCCAGCTATGTATGGATGTAAAATAATCAGAACAGTTTGATTGGAAGAAATTCTAAAAGCAGAGGGAATGTAGTACTTTTATTAAATACATCTCCAATGATTTTTTTTTTTTAATTTAAGGAACAGTAACTATTAAATATGATGGTATTTTGCTTTTAAGTCTTGAATAGATCCTGAGTTAGTAGTTATGTAACAGTAAAAGGAAAAATATTTGTTTCAGATACTTTCGTGTGCACATCATATGTCGTTAAACCTATGCAGTGTCTCTCATGGGTTCAATAAGGGGTCAGATAACTGAAATTCCTACACTTAAGAATAATTCCATTTATTTCAGATAGACTTAAGAACCTGGCTCATTATTAGCCTCACTAGTAATGAGAAAGAAATAGAAAGAATTAAAAAGAAAAAAAAAAAAAAAGCACAGTATACCTAATCTGTCAGAAACTTAATCTGTTATAAAGAGGTAGAATTTGAAGTTGGAACACCCACTTTTAATTATGTAAAGTTCAGCAGTCCCTTTTTAACCATTCATTAATTTTTCGTGGTAAATATTTATGGTTTTACTCACTGCTCACTTTCAATATGTTTACTTTCCTAGTATTTTAAATTGAAATCTTTAATAGAATGTAGTAAGCATGTGTTGAGTGATGAGCACATAGTAACTTAAAAATTTTCAAGAAGGGCAGACTTATATCACCTTTAAAAAAATAAAAAAAAACAACTTGATTTTTAGCCTTACAATTAACATCGTGGGAAGCTATTCACAATGTATTTTGATAAGATATTCACTAGATATTCCTAGATTATAGATAAACATACATACATGTATGCAGTGAAAATTTTCATTATACCTTTGTGTGGTATCCTGTCTTGGAATTTCATCCATCTGATAGAATAATTCATATTCTATCAGAAGCTACACATCAGCTCTGATTATCATACTGGAAAGCTACATCTGTTCTCCAGCCGTTTAATGAATCAGTCTGATAAACTGCACTGAATGTTTGTGACGGATTCCACCAGCTGATCCAAACCACTCTTCCATATTCTCTCATTCCTTTTATTGTCCATGAGTTGTACAGCTTAGGAATAGCTGTTCATGTAGTATAGGAGGGTCTCGGTATATGGTAATACAAAGAAATTATTGATAAGTTTACAAAGCATGTGATATTTATTTCTAGGTGTCAACTCCATCGTTGTATGACCAGTTGTAACACATAGTTATAATGTTTTAATTATTTAAAAGGAATTAGAGAGTATCTTGGAAGATACTGAATTACAAGCATTAAGTAATGAAATAAATAAAATATTTGATGTTATGTCATGAGGTTCAGTACATTTAAAAGGAGGAGAGAGAGTCAACTTATCTCTTGCCCAGAACTTTTATTTATTTATTTATTTATTTATTTATTTATTTATTTATTTTTAATAGGGTACTATCACAAGGGAATGCAAACAATGAAAATTGTGAAAAAGTGAGTCTGAAAAGTTTTTAAACTACAAAAAAGAAGGCAAAGCTAGCTTCTGAATACCACAAGTTATGTTAAATTTCCAAAGCTAAGTTTACTGAGCCTTTCTGCTTATTGAAAGCTCTGAGACTTTTAGCTCATTTACCACATCTGAAAAACACGAAGCAGAGTTTTTCCTGCCTGTTAAGTCAAGTATCAGGAATGCACCTGAAACGGAACCTCTGTGGTGACCCCTTGGCTCAATTTTTTTGCTTTACTACAGAATTTCTGTAATACCTTGTGCAAGATGCTTGTGTCTCTGCTTCAGTTGAATGTTTTTATAATGAGAATAATAATTCCCAACTCATAATCTTCTAACTGAGAGGCTGAATTAGTTCACAGTGATTGACAATTCAGCTATTGTGCTCAAAGCAGTACTTGAAAAGTCCAAATGAATAGCCTGAAAATGCCTCCCTTTTGCAATGCTGTGTTGTTTCTTGGCTTCTACCCTAGATAGCATGGTTACCTCAGTGGAAGGTCTGGGTTCTGACAGCGTCTTCAGTTTGCATGAAGACAGCCATTATCGGATAAGCAAGAGCCTGCTCAAGCCAGCAGAAGGGACCACAGTACCCCTGACGAGAGTGAAGTGTTTGGTGTCCATGACAACCCCACATGATATCAGGCTTCACGGATCATCGGTTACACCGGCATTCATTGAGTTTGACACATCTCTGGAAGGGTTCGGGTAAGGTCCTACAGTGCTTTCAAATAGCGTGGGGCACAGTGCGATGTCTTCTTACTTTCTTCTTTCAGAGAAATCCTTCTAATTTTTTAATGGACTGTTTGCAAACCAGGGACATGTGAATTCTTTAAAGAAAAGGAAGGAGTACTTCAAGCCACATAAATTTCCCCTCAGTCATTAATGACTTGAAACCAATGCTTGCTTGCCATATGTGAAAGTAGAAATCAGTATGTATCTAAATGTTGATAGTACCCTCTGAGTTCTGGATTTCACAAGCCTTTTAAAAATGAAGTAATGCTAACATACCCTTGCGGAAACTCATTATTTGCCAGGGTTTATATGCAATATTTGAATGGCCTAAATGCTCAGAAACCCACTTTAAAATACTGAGGAACTTGGAAATGAGGAAGGGGGTAAAGCGGAAGTACAGGTAAAATGGAGAAGGAAGCTATGTTGAGTCCAAATAACTGGAAAAATCTGATTATTAACTGGAGGTGTAGCCTGAACGTAACGCTTAACTCATTTTGTCTTTTAGCACCAAGTATCACCTTCATTTACTGTTTGTTTTTTTCTCTCTCTAATTAAACATCTGCTGAGTGAGGCACTTCATGAGGCTCATGTAATACAATTTAACTTGTCTGTTCAGAAGATGAAAACACGACACCCTTCTCAACATCTGTTTAAAGAAAATGTTTTGTCCTTTTGGTTATAAAAAATGAATAGAAAAAGTCAAAGCACTCATTTTTTTTTTTCTGAGCTAAGGGGACAAAAAAAAATATCAAAAATTGCTATAAAAACTCAGACCAATAATGTAAGGAACAGGTTTTCTTTAACTGCCTGTGGACTGGTCCGTAGGCAGAGGCTGACAAATAGGCCGAAAGCCAGTATCTCGAAGAGGGCAGTGTTGTGAGGTACGTGCAGGTCAGATAATTGTGAATGGCACCTTGAATGGTAAGTAATTGTTCAGAATTTCCCGGAAGACTGATTAAAAGCTTGAAAACCTTGACTAGAAGCTTTATTAAAAGGTTTTTAGTGGCACGAAACACCAAAAATGACAGCTGCTGTGAAGCCCAAATGAGTGTAGCAAATTCTTATGAGATGAGTAGCTCCTCAATGTTTGGTTGGTGGTTTTTTTCAGTCTCTTTTTTAAAAAGAACTCTGAAAAGAGGTAGAAATGATCTGCTGTCCACAGCTGTACCACAGTTTCATAAAACCAGAAGCAGCTCCACCTGACAGAATTATTCATCTTGTTTTTTTCTTTCTAGATCCAATATTTATAGTACTGTACTTATTCAATCTATTTCTTTTCTGACTTGACCTTTGACAGAGCCACTTGCATCTTAGTGCACTTGTTCCAGTTTATTTGGGATGACTGGTCTGAGAGCACCTGGTTATTTGGTAGCTCTCCTGCTCTACATTCTCTTTCCAGCTTTGCGAGGCAAGGATGCGGCACCTGTTTTGTATCTAGCCTTTGTATCCACCACTATGGTCGGGGGAGAATTTTCTTTGAAAACAATAGGTGCTTAAAGCTCTGTTCTACATCCTTCATAAGATAAAATAAAATGTTTTAGAACTGAGAACAACTTGAAACAGGCTAGCAAAATGAATTCTCACTGTGGTTGCTCCAGGAGATTTGTAGGTGCTGGTAATGTGTCAAGAAGTGACTTGTAATTTCAACAAGTCACCTAAGAAGGCTGCTATAATCAATTAGAAAAAAAAATTAAAAAATGTTTAGTCTATTTTAAAGTGCCATGGTGTTTCATGAACAGTTGATGGACCCTTGCAAGTTATCTGCTTAGAGAGAACATGCCTGTAACACCATTGACCATGGGGGATTTGCCCAGAAGATAACATTTTCAAGATGGAGGAAAAAATATATAATGAGAACTGTAATCAAAAGGAAGATACTAGTGATCAGAACCATGGACTGCTGTTGCTTTCAAGATGGGCGGTCAAGTTAACTCTTTATAGCTTACCTGAGAACAAAATAACTCCTAGTTCGGTCAGGCAATTTAGCTACAGTATACTTAAGCTAGCCTACTCAAGTATAAGTGTCAACAAAAGGATGATTCTTCAGCAAGTGGAAGAGCCATCATTTTGCCTCCAGTAGAACAATCTATATACAAACTGGCAGCTGAATTCCTGTGGGGATTCACTCCACCTTGGGTAGGCTGGTCACTGAAACCATCTGGGCTCTTAAAATCTTTTGGTACCTAAAGAAGGTACTCCTTATACCTGTTTCCATTGTGTCCACAGCATCAGTAGCTCTTTTAAGGACCAAATGTAGGTAATTTGGTGAAATATGATCTTACTGTGAGAGTGTACTACTTAAAATAAGAACACCATAGTATGCAATTACCAGATCCTTTGTACATTTAGCTAATCCAGTCTCTTTGAGAGTCCAGAACATCTCAAAGGCTGCAATGAGTTATGGTTGCCCACAAGGGAGCATCTTGTGCTATGGAGCTACATGGGTGTGAGTACCAAAGACATGCTGCCAGAGCTGTTTGCACTGGAGGTGATTTAGCCTCATAAAGAGAAATTTTGAAAATTAATTTCTACTTTTGATGAATATGTACAGTCAAGGAGAATGATGTTGAGAATGATGTATGTTTTCCTAGGCTATGGTTGTTTTTTTTTTATATTGAGCTTTAGTTATCTTGACTTTCATAAACTCTAGTGTGTTACTGGTCTTCTGTTTAACAGCTGCTTGTTCTTGCCAAGTTTGGCTCCCCATAATGCACCTACAAACAATGCTGTTACAACAGGACTTATTGATGGTGCGGTTGTCAGTGGAATTGGAACTGGTAAGTACTCAAGTATGACTGTTAGTAGTGTTTTGTATCTGATGTTTAGTTCTCTCGTATTTCTTTGTTAGCCATGAAGTGATAGGGTGGTGCTGGATGTTGTACATTCATAATTGAGAACTATTTCTGTCTTTTTTTTTTGGATGTGTGTTCCTGTTGCTTTTTGCCCCCAAGTCAGAAAACAGTATAAAATACAAATGTGTGATTTGCTTTAAAATACGAGGCTTTCAGCAGAAGGTTAACTTGTAGTCAAGACAAGCATATAAATAATGAACCTGGATGCATTAACATCAAGTTGAGGTAGTAATGTGAAGAGCATAGGAAATGTGGAATGAATTGCAATGCTGTAGTTGTGGCTTTGTTCTGCTGAATTCTTGACTGAATTTATTACAGGTGTTGTTATACACATCATCACAAAAATCCCTTCTAAATTGTTTGCTATGCCTTATAGTTGTTCACCCTACAGGAACCTGGTGTGCTGCGGGTCTAATTGAATGTGATCACTTAGTTAAAAAAGAAGCTGAGTCTAAAATTAGTGTTAGGCAGTACTTGAAGTCTATGAGCTCTTTCTTGTTCTGTGGGAGCACCCCAGGAGCTGAAATGGAGTCAGTTGTATGTCGTGGGGAGATCTTCTTTAAGAAAGACTTCTTCAGTGAGTCACACCTATTGAGGAAGCATCTCATCATGATAGCAGTTTCTGAGGGCCTGATCCATTTCCACTTTTTTTTTGTCTAGGGAACTAAATCTGGGTTGTTTTGAAAAAGCACAGCTTCAAGAGTTGATTTTTGGTTTTAGAATAGGAGGGAATAGTGTGCAATTCTTGCTTTACTTTGGAAGGAAACCTCTCTGAGCTAGCTTTATGTAGCTTTTCCTCCAAGCTTGAGTCAAAAATGAAAGATGTTGAAGTACATGAAGGAAAAGTGTGAGAAAGCACAGCTGGTAACAACTGAGCTGACATGAAAAAAGGAACAGGAATGAGTAGGTATCCTAAGTACTAGCTACTCCAACTATATAATGGGCTTTCATTTTTGTTTCTAGGTGAAAGATTTTTCCCACCGCCATCTGGTCTGAGCTACTCAACTTGGTTTTGTATTGAACATTTTAGTACACCTCCTAATAACCATCCTGTGAGACTTCTTACTGTAGTGCGGCGTGCAAACTCCTCAGAGCAGCATTATGTATGCCTTGCAATTGTCCTCTCAGCGAAAGACCGGTCGCTAATTGTTTCAACTAAAGAAGAATTGCTTCAAAATTATGGTAAGAGTTGTGTTGTGTCATCAGCAAATTCTGAGAATATTATGGAGATGCAACAGCAAGCAAAAGTTTGTTTTGAACCTAATGTCTGGAAGAATTGTGTGATAGAACTTCAGTTGCAGCTTCACTGGCTGCTAATGGGTTTTGACAATGGAAAAATGTAAAATGTAAACATTCATGTAGAAATGGGGAGGGATTTTTTATAAAGGCAGGTAGAGATAGAACAAGGGGAAATGGCTTCAAACTGGAAGAGGGTAGGTTTAGATTAGATATTAGGAAGAAATTCTTTCCTGTGAGGGTGGTCAGACACTGGAACAGGTTGCCCAGAGAAGCTGTGGGTGCCCCCTCCCTGGAAGTGTTCAAGGCCAGGCTGGATGAGGCTTTGAGCAACCTGGTCTAGTGGAAGGTGTCCCTGCTGATGGCAGGGGGTTTGGAACTAGATAATCTTTAAGGTCCCTTCCAACCCAAACCATTCTAAGATGCATTCTATGATTCTAAACTAAGAAGTTTTTAGAATTTCCAAAGATTCGATGTCTACATATAAAGAATAATTTTTACTGATACCCAAAGTGTTATGGATTTGAAGGAGGGATTATGTCATTGTGCATTCTATGTATGCCTTATGGATTATGGATTTGAAGGAGGGATTATGTCATTGTTTTTGGAAGCTTTTTGCCTTTTATTTGTCTTGTATCATTCATTTTAGACATCATCTCTTGAGGTACAAATGTTAATTATCATTGCTTTGAGGAAGTTTGGAAATAGTAAACTAACAGGTTATGAAGGCTTTTCAATCTGGATAGTCCCAACACTTGAGGGCTATTTGAAGACAATCAGTCATTCACTTCATGTTTTACAGCTGTGATCAGTTTTCAGAAAGAGTTTGTAGCTTCGTTCAGTATCTGTGATCAAAGGTGTAATTACAGGAGGTACAGTGAAGATCTATGTGAAGCTGGTGAGAGGCCAGTCAGTTTGCTAGAGAGAGAGCTATCGGTGCAGTCAGGGGCTTCAGGCTTAGCCATCTCCTGTCTCCTGCCTTGTCCTCTGTCAGGGCCTCCAAAAATGTTCAGTTTTGACAGGCCACTTACATGCCCTGGCTGTGGAGGAGCTGAAAGGAGTGAGGCAACCTTCTGCGTATGTTTCAGGCTTAGCTCTTTACCAGGGCAACACACTGGGTTACCAGTGGTTATCAGAAATCTGTTACTGCTCCTGTTCTTTTGTTTTGAGTAGCAGGCACTAATAAAGAATTCATACAACTGTTATTATTTTAAAAACTCAAACAGCAAAGCACGCTGTTATAGAATATTCCTTATTTTCATGATAAGTGGACATTCATACTATTATTGGCAGTAGTTTCTCTTAGCAGAAATCAGGTTCAAAACCTAAAACTTGAGAGCTGGAGTCTCATAGTACAAGGGAGGAACTGAGCCTTTTAAATTACAAAGATATTGACAGTGGTTTCTTTCTCAGAAGACCAAATTCTCTTATAAGAAAGTTCTTCATATTAATTGCTTTCGCCTGCACTGCAGCTATAGATCATATGTTTTTAGTAAGCCCCTATTATCTAACTCTTTAAAATAAATTGGATTTGAAGAGGCTTTGTCAGAGATCTGAACATCTCTGACTACAAAGACTGGTTTTTAATTGAATGGGAGACTTTGCTTTACTGGAGTCATAGTTGGTGCTGTACCGGCAAGTGCTGTGCAGGTAAGTACCTGAAGAACTGAGATGGCAGGCCTGCCAGCATGGGGACTGGAAGTGCTGATGGTCTATTGTAAGAATAAATGGGGTGCTTTAAGGATCTTTCTTGAGAGTGAGAATTGTGCTCAAAGGTGTTTGGCTGAGAAAAAGAACTTGAGATCATTTTTTTGTATGAAAGTTAGCTCCGAGTACTTTGCTTTTATAATTTTGCTCGTGCTATTTCTAAAGAAATGAGTGTTCTCCCTGTGCAGGCGGCAGTTGAGGTAAGAGGATTAGTGGCTTCTTTTCCTTCAATATGAAAGAAGGAAGAAAGATCTGAAAAGCTTCTGTTTTCTGTAGAAGCATTCCCTGGTGGAGAATTTTTGAGCTTTGTCTTTTTTTGTCCTTTTTTTTCTTTTTTTTTGGTGAGGTTGGGAGTGGGTGGCCTTTCAAGTACAGCATGAATCATTCTGCTTTGTGCTGGAGAAGCTAATGCACCTGCAAACTGACCATGTCCTTTGGTATGAAGTCAAAGGAGGATGCCTTTTAGAGAAATTTTAAAAATAGGTGCTGAGAACTAAAGTGTATTTCAACATTCAGAAGAGAATTCGGCACCTATTAAGGAAGGAACACCTGGGAAATGCTGAAGACTATAGGTCTGTGAATTGGAGATGGGTGGTCAGAAGCTTGTGGTGTGCAGCGCCTGTGGAGAGGCTGGGAGCCAGTTCCTCTGGCTGCACATCTGGAAGGCAGGCATCCATCTCTGACTCCTCTCACTGTTGGTGTGAGGGTGGCTGATGGAGCCGCGGGTGCAGGTCCCCTCACCCCACAGCAGCTGGTGCTCATGTTGGGTCAGCAGCCTTACAACTCAGGCACCATTGCTGATAAGGTGAAGGGAAGGCAAGGGTGACTCACTGAGGTTGCAGTACTGCAGCGGAACAGATGAGATGGCGTGAAGTCTTTGTTTTGACTTGGGCAGAAATGTCTCAGCCCTGAGCTTCCCTTTCAGTAGAAACACTTCAGATAATTTTCCTTAGAAGTGCAAAAAGGGAAGAAGAGAAGCCACTGTGCTGAGGCTGGAGTCACGAGTACCCCATGTCTGTGCTCGATGCATGTCTTGCCAGCCAAACGTTGTATTTGTGGCTTTTATTGAGGGAAAAAAAAAATCTCAACCTCATCTTTAACTTCACTCATGCTCTGTAATTTGGCATGCTTCTGATGCAGACGGTTTGAAAGGCATCTTTTTACTGGTATCTTCTTTTATGTATGACCTAATTGTTTAAGCAAGATAGTGGCAAGCTTATATTGAGTGCCTGTGGCCAGGTGCTGGGGGAGCCGGAGGGGACTCTGTGGGAAGAGGCTGGGGGTGCTGTCCCATGCCTGGAAATGGCCAGTTCCAGCTGCCTCCACAATGGACCTCCCACAAGGACCATAGCTGAGCACAGCAGCCAGGCTGGTGGTGCTTCTGGGAAAGCACATCTAAGAGAGGGTGAAATGCTGCATGGAGTGAGGAGTAAGTTAAAAAATGTGAGAGAAAGTGCCCTGAGGACACCAAGGTGAGAGCCAAAGGAGGGGAGGGGTTGCTCCAGGCGCTGGAGCAGAGATTCCCTGAGGCCACTGGAGAAGACTGCACTGGAGCAGGTAGTGGAGGAGATCATGGTGAAGCAGGGAAGAGTGAGGAGAAAGTCCAGGAATTATGGGTATCTGTCTCTCCACCATAGGAGGAAGGTGAAAAATAGCTCTGTAGATTTGGAGAGACATCTGTTATTTCTGGCTGACTACTGCTGTAAAACCTATTTTAGAAAAGCAGCAAGAAGTTTTTCTCTGACCTGCATAGTAGCACGAGAAAGTTAGTAAAACTTGAGCAAACTAGGCATTCCAGCTAAAATTTCAAAGGGAGGGTAGAAGGGGAGAAGTAAAACTTAATTGTCAAAAGCATAAATTTTTCCTTAGAATTTTCTTAGAGAAGAAATAAGACAAAGGAAGAAGAGACCCGTTGTTGATAATATCAAAAGTGTAGTGGTTTGTTAATGTTAATCTAATGATGTTCAGCTTGTCAAATTGTGACAATTTGATCTGAATACTTTCTCAATAATTCTGATTTAATTCTTTTAATTCTTGTATTTGAAAGTCTAAAGTCGTATCTTGTTAATCATATGACTTCATTCATATCTTAATTGTATTTTTGGTCACATTGTTAACTATATGTTTTGTAAAATTTTGGCTTTAATGTGTTGCTGTAGATTCATTTTGCATAAAGTCTAATGACATAAGAAACTTAAAGCAGATGAGTAACATTTCTACCAGTGCCCTCTAACTGTACTTTTCCTTTAGTTGATGACTTCAGTGAGGAATCGTCTTTTTATGAAATTCTTCCTTGTTGTGCCCGTTTTCGCTGTGGTGACCTCATTGTGGAAGGCCAATGGCATCACCTAGTTCTGGTCATGAGTAAAGGCATGCTAAAGAACAGCACAGCTGCGCTCTACCTTGATGGACAGCTTGTTAACACTGTTAAGGTAAATAAATCTTTAAATCCTCATTTTTGCCAGTTGGAGTGATTTCCCTCTGTCTGCACATGTGTAAAACCACACAAAACAATAACAACAAAAAACCCCCACATTTTAAACAAACAGACAAACAAAAATCCCCCAAAAGCCTACCCAAAACAAAATCAAAAACCAAAGACGAAATGAGGAGCCTTGCACGAAGGGGTCTTTGCTCACTGCATAGCTCAGACACAGCCCTAGTCCTGTTAAGAGAAGATAACGAATACTTCTCGGGCACGAGCAATAGCAACGCTAAAGTGAAGTGGACGTGTTGTATTGAATGTGAGGCAAGTGTCGCACAGCTATGCTGCTGACTAGATTAATTAGAAAGATGATAAAAAGCTGAAGACAACTTAACCCAGGACCATGTAGCAGATCTAATTTTGAGTAAGATGAGAGTAAGACAGTTTTGCCAATTTCACTGTGTTTTTCCTTTCCCAACCCTCTTGCCATCCCAGAAATAGCATCCCCTTGTCAGTGATAGCCACTCAGATGCCCAGTGTTGTTATTAGTTGATTGTAAATGAAACACATTTAGTTGTAAAAGTCAGTATTTTGTTGTTAGGTGGAAGAAACTAGGAGGCCAGAAGCAGAGAGCAGTGAAGAGCACTGTGGACCTGTCCACTGAGCACAAAGTATTCCTGACCTGTAACTGATAACCAAAGAGTATTTGGCACCTGGTAGGCATGGGTATTAAGGGAGTAAACTAATCCTGGTATGGGGTGCAAATTAGCTAGTGTTACTGTTACTGCTATTGGTAAAACAATATTTTGACTTTCAAAGTTTACCTTTCGGTATTCCTTTTGCAGAAAGAGAACTGTACTTGTTATGCTAATAGCTGTAATACATGAGTGCGTATCTGGCCATACGTGACTACATTCAATAGCTGGTAACAGAATTTTTGCAAAGTAGATAGAAAATGCCTGTGAGATTGTTACTGTCGTTATATATAGGTCAGCATCTTCTCTGTGTATTTGTTTTATTGCCATCTGAACACCTTATCAACTGGAGTTCATAATGTTTGCACTTTAGCTTGAAACAATATAATAACAAAAGGCATATTTTCACCAGCTGAAGAAAGAGGAGAAAGAACACTGCTTATGCAAGATAAAATAATGACCATCATAAAGCACCGTGTTTTTAAAAGCAAGATGCGCCCTTGTTCTTTAGCATTTTTAAGCACAGAACTCATATGTTCTCTTGCTGTTTCCATACACACCTTCATCTTTTGAAAACCACTTAAATTCTGATTTTTACATTTACCTTCTGGTTAAGGTTCTTCACTGACTTTTACGGTATAGTATCAGAATATGACACGTTACATAGCAATCATTTGTTATGTACCCTAGTTTGCAAATCGCTTTCCTGAATTTCTGATCTGTCTACTTTCTTTTCACAGTACCCATGCTATCTCAATAACTTCACTGTGTTTTTCTCCCTTACAGCTTCACTATATTCATAGTAGCCCTAGCGGGTCTGGTTCTGCCAACCCACCTGTAGTCAGCACTGTTTATGCCTATATTGGCACACCACCCGCACAGCGCCAGCTCTCTTCATTGGTGTGGCGTTTGGGCCCTACACATTTCCTGGAAGAAGTTTTGCCTGCCCCAGGTGTTAGCACCATTTATGAACTGGGACCAAATTACGTCGGAAGCTTTCAAGCAGTATACATACCATGTAAGTACAATTCAAATGGCAGCCAATAACTTGGCCCAGGTGTAGTGGAATCTTCTATGTGCATATTGGCAGAAGAAGTGAGAAAGGGGAGAGTATGTGGTATGAGAGAGGAGAAGCTAGCTATTCATAGGAAGAAGATTAGTAGCACCTACTGAAGAGGATGATAGAAATCTAAATTACTGTTTTAACATACTTCTGGTAGCTCTTGTACTGAGATATGATAGAAGTGCTTATATTCCTCACTTTGGTTTGAAACCAGTTAGAAATGCTTGGAGCTGTCATTATTCGTACTATATATTATATTTCTCTGTAGAAAGTGAAATTGGAAAGGCATTTTAACTTGTTGGTTTCTAATGATAGCACTCATTTGCAGATCTGCAGTGTATTCTGTACTTTAAACACAGCTGTCTTGAAATGTCATTGTTTGTAGGGCCTAAATAGGTCAGCTGAGAAAAATCAAACATGGAGGTATTGTGGTGCAGCAGATAGTCTTTAAGTATTGGTTGCAAACAAATATGGACAATTCTGTTAAATTTTTTAAAGTGTTAGTGTTTGAAATTGTGGGGAGTGCAATACAAAAGATGTGAATAACCTTGATAGAAATGTGTGTCCATAACTATTTTTAACTATTCAGGCAGCAGATTCTTCATTATCTCAGGTAAGATGAACCATCACTAGTGAGGTTTTCCTCTTCTGTATGGCTCCTTGTCTTTCTGTGCAATTAAAGTACCTCGCTGACATCAGTATTATGTCAGAAGATGCTCATTGCTTTATGTGAGTATCACAGGGCTTTTCAGTGAAACAAATAAAAATGGGGAACATGTGAAGTTGTCTTGTCCTTGCATTGTCTTTCCCCATGAGGACCATAATGTTCTCCAGCTCTTCAGGAGAGAAATTGTCACCATCTCAAGGAAGGAGGCAGTGAGTGACAAGAGTGGTAGGAAAATAAAAGTATGTACAGGGAGTGCACAAGGTCTTATTTTTCATAGTGAAAGCTTTCCCTAGAGTGGTGACAGACACACACACCCCCCAAGTGTAGATGATCTTCAAGCTGTGAAAGAACGACCTATCATGAAAAAGAAAGTAGCTTTCCTTACCCATCTTGAGTCAAAAACTTTAGGGAATTTAATTTTGTCATTTACAGATCTGTGTCACGTACTTACTTTTTTAATAGCTAGACAAACCTAGCAAGCAACTCTGGATTTAGGTATAGGCTAGTCAATTATAATTTCTCCTGGAAGGCATTTTGACTGGTGCTGTGCAAGTACCAAATTAACCAAAGTAAATTCTGTGAATGTGAATTTGTTCACTTACACAAATTAAAGATCTTCCTGCCTTTATGCTAAAGCCATGTTCACCAGGAAGCCCACAGTAACTTAGAGTTCTTCAGCTTTTTCCAGTGTGGAGGTGTATTTCTCCTGCACAAGTTTTGCTCAGTTTGTTATATTTCAGGAGTGATGTGCTCCAGAACAAAGGGCATATTTCTGTTTGGGGATAAGCTTCTGTTCATTGCATGTGCACTGTGCCAAACCCTCAAGTGTTTGATAGGGGGTGCAGTGTGAAGCTCTGTATCTTACCCTTTTATCTTGGCCTGTCTTTCCAAAGTGCTTGTTTTTCCTTTTTGTAATGATTATTTGTGGGAATCTTGGAGAAGGAAAGAGCCCTTTCAGTCTTCCAGTGTTTTGCTTTACAGTGTAGTTGTGTCTGATTTGCCATTTGCCCATACAATGCTCTTTCAGAAGTTTCATCCCTGTCTTCAGCGGGCAAGATTGCCATCTTCTGAGAGCTTGTCCTGTGTTTAAACAAAGTGAAAGACCTGATACTTTTTAAGAGACCCCTCCTTGAGCAGTTACTAGTTCAGGAGAAGGAATTCCTTTGTATGTTCATTGAAATGGAGGAATGTTCACAGGACATCTGTGAGAGCAGAGGATCCAATGAGGATTGCAGAGGATCCGGTGAGGATTTCATTTGTGGGGGATCAAAGACTTCTGAAACTCTCTCTTAAGAGAGACTTGACCCTGGTTCAAAAAATTGGGTAGACATACAGCTTGTCATTGATTTCAGTGTTAGGTGAGAAGCCTTCATGCTTTTTTAATTGCATTAATGTGTTTCACTGGAGTTGCAGATGCCTTTTGACCTGGAATGAAGATGCAGAAGTGAATCTCTGTATTGAGCTTTCAGGTGCTGAGTTTTGTATGCTTCCTCTAAGAAGTTTATAGCATTTGCAGTGCCTCACAAGAAGCATCCACTTTTGGAGCAGTGGATACAAAATACTGAAGCTACGGTTATGTATTCTCTTCAGTGCCTGGGCCTTTTGGTCTTTATTCAGTCTTGCATCTCTTGTACCAGTCTCTGAGGTGCTTTTCCTAGCAAACCATTGTAAAAAGCCCATTGTCACAGGCAAAGATGCAGATGTACCAAATACTTCTGGTTTTTGATTACTTTGTTTTTTCTTCGGGTGGGAAGGGAAGTGAACAGCCCTTAGGCTGTACACAAATTGAGTACAGGAGTATTATTGCCTTCCAAAAATTCTTCTGTTGCTTGGCCAAGCCACAGGGTACCAGTTGCCATTATGTGTTAATATTGTAGACCTTTTTGAAAAGAAATGTTTGCTGTGCATTGCTCTTTCATCTCAAATAGTAGATTTATTCCACGACTCGTGTGCTATCAAGCTATTCTTGGGTACAGTGAGCAAGTATTCAAAGACAATATAAAATCTCAGCTTTTTGTAAAACCTTTCTTTTATACCTGTTCTACAATATAATGTGCTTGAGATTTAAAATTGTAAAGAAAAACAGTGCTATTATGAAATAAAATTTTATTCTGTCTTTAAGGCAAAGATTCGAAGTCTGAAGGGATCAACCCGTCTCCAGTATCTTTGGTACCAGAAGAGAAGGTTTCTTTTGGTCTCTATGCACTGTCAGTTTCTTCATTTACAGTGGCAAAAATAAGGAAAGTTTACAACAAGTTGGATAGTAAAGCTATTGCCAAACAGGTATGTTGGGAAATGAGTTGGTTAATGTGTACTACTTGTTTGTTCCTTTCTTTTAACTTCTCTCAAGGCAATGTGGTCCGTGCAACCAGGAACAATAATGTACTTGTCAAAAGAGTTACCCATAATCACTTTCATGTTTAAAAAAGAAAAAAAAAAAAATTGAGGGAGGTTCTACTAGATTTTATTCACATTCTTATAATTACTAGTAGCTATGTATCTTAGCACCTTTTGGAGGTATTTTGACTTTTTAGTGTAGTTGGCAGTTGTAATCCTGTTGAAAACCAGTTAAGTTTAAAACCAGTCAATGATATAACCAGTTATATCATTGAACGATATTTCTACTGCTGCAAATGAACAAAGATGATATCTTAGTCCTCTGACTATGATTCAGATTTGGAAACCAGAGTATTGATTTACTTTTTTTTTTTTAAGTACATGAAAAGTCAGTGAATTATTTGTACAAAGAACCACCTATGAAGAAAGACTGAGGATATTCAGTCTGAAGAAGAGAGGGCTCTGAGGAGACCTTATTGCAGACTTTCAATACATACATGAGACTTAGAAGAACAATGAGAGAGACTTTTTACCAGAGTGTGTAGTGACAGGACAAGGGGCAAGGGTTTTAAACTTAAAGAAGATGGATTTAGATTTGGCATAAGGACAAAACTTTTTAGGTTGAGGATGGTGAGGCACTCAGAGGTTGCCTAGAGAAGCTGTGAGTGTCCCTTCAGGGGAAGTATTCCAGGTCAGGTTGGATGGCAATTTGAGGAACCTGATTTAGTGGAAGATGTCCCTGTCCACAGGAAGGGGATCTGACTAGATTATTTCTAAAGGTCCCTTTCAACCCAAACCATTCTATAATCTGGTGGAATTATTTTTAAAGTTAGTTTCATCTTCCTTAAATATCGGAGACTGGAGATTTCTCTTTAGAGAATGTCTTAATGACTCTAGCATAGTTTTATTTTGTTATAAGTTGCTCAGTCTTTATCACAGGAGGAAAATACACAAGTTATGTTCAGGCTTATGTAAAAAACCTTCTTCCCTTTAGCCCTCCTTTTTTTTTTTTCTTCCCTGTTTTGTTCAGCTGGCAATTTCTTCTCATGAAAATGCCACACCTGTGAAGCTGCTACATAACTCAGCAGGTCATTTGAATGGACCAGCACGCTCCATTGGTGCAGCTTTGATAGGATATTTGGGTGAGTTGAGTGCTTGAGAATTATTATGTTTAAACATGATTAATTACTTGTCAATAAGAACTTAGGTCTAGAAGATATTTCATGTCATTGATTAATGTTAATGATACATTGTTAAATTTATTTAACAATTGTGTATTTTATGAACAAACTATTATCTTTTTTCTTTTTTGCTAACATAGGATGCTTGTTTCAGTTTATAAAAGTTATTGTTATGAAACTATACTTAATTATTTTACCTTAGGTCATAAACTATTTTCCAGTGCAATATTTCCTTCACTTCTGAGGTGTCGTAGTTCTTCTAGTGATACTCTTTTCGTAATTCAAGCAACGCTAGAATGCAAATTATTTGCATGTATTCACAGTGATTTCCAACAATAATTAGATTTGATTTGATTTTAATTTATTTTCTCTGCCTGTGCTCAGGAGTAAGAACATTTGTCCCTAAGCCTGTTGCCACTACACTGCAGTACATTGGTGGAGCTGCTGCTATTCTGGGTCTTGTAGCCATGGCATCAGATGTAGAAGGGCTGTATGCAGCTGTGAAGGCCTTGGTCTGTGTGGTAAAGAGCAATCCACTAGCCAGCAAAGAAATGGAAAGAATCAGAGGTTATCAGGTATGTAAGAACTGTCTTAAAACAGACCAGACTGGTTTAATTTCACTGTCTGTCCTAGCTGTTCCTGTGGAAACTCCTTTTTGGGTTGTGGTAACCCGAGTTTCTGCTCTTAAGAGTTTACTGAGTTCTTGGCTAATTAGTGTAGATGAGTTATTTAGGATGGCATTTAAAGGAGAAGGTAGAAAGTTTTGCTAAGCAGTTGTGCATGTTTAGCTGCTTTCCTGAAACTGACCCTTCATTAACAGTAAGGAAGAGCACAACTATGGCACTTAGTGGTTGTGAATCCACCCCTGCGAGCCCAGGAGCTTCTATCTCCATGATCTGCCAGCAAGAGAGAAAGATAAGGACACATGAAGAAAACCAAATAAGTGCACTCCTAGAATTGCCATTTTGATGAGACTGCATACACTTTCTCATTAGTAATGCTGCTTGCTTTCAGGCTGAAGATTTCTTAATTCTCCATTGGGGTGGGGGAAGTGCAATCAGTTATGCAGAAGGATTGGTTGACTGACTTGAAAAGATCTCTACACAATAATTGCATTTTACATTGCTCATGAAGACTACTGTACTGAAATGGAAAGTTCATGCTGTGGTTTGGGCAGCGTATGTACAAACCTCGTAATGCTAATGACTAGGATAGTTACATTGAAACGTATTATTCCATGTAGCCTGTTGCAGACCTTGGCTTACTTTGATCAAACAAATGTAGACAGTGTCCTCCTTGCTCCATAAGCAGTTGGTGGATCACCATATACGACCCTAGGTTCCACTTGTTTTGACCTCAGCAAATAACATGGTTGGAGAGAGATTCCCAAAAACATGTATTTCTTTAGTAATGTTTCAGGGAGAATGGTGCAGTGGATCAGGTCAGTATGTTGAGAGTTTAACAAGTTTGAATCGGAAGATGAGAAATAGCAATAGTACATCTGGAGACTTGTTGTTTCCCAACCCAGTTTATAAGAAGTTAGAGCAGAAATGAGGACCGAAAGGATGACATCTACAATCATGCCTAGCGCAACAAAGGGTGGCAAGGAGAATCCAAAGTCAGGCTTATTCAGATTTATGTTGTCATGGCTACTTTTCTTCAGTGCTAGAATACCTCTTGTTTGTGCATGTGGTACTCTAGGAGTGCTCTGTTTAAGTCTGACTTGTCCATTGTTGCTGTCCAGGAACACAACTATCTGAGAATGTATCATGTGCTGTCTTAAACTGTGATTGACTACTAGAGAGCTGAGGTGTGTCTGCGTGTGCCTAGTCCTTAGGGCCTAGATACTGTCTGCTGTGTAGAACAAATGTTTTGTGAGCCGGAGAGTGTCCTGGAGGTCACCTTTTCTGATCAACCATAATGACACTTTCAAGCTTTTTCATCAAGAGTTATCAACTATTGGACATACTTTAAGGGTCTTCTCAAAAGAGATATTTCACCCATGCTTCTTTGTGCTTAGACAACATTGCTGTGTGTTGATAGCCTACTAATTCCTTTTCTGTTTGCTTGTTCAAGTTGCTGGCAATGCTGTTAAAGAAGAAACGATCCCTTCTGAACAGCCACATACTCCATCTGACTTTTTCCTTGGTGGGAACTGTCGATAGCGGGCACGAGACCTCCATTATTCCAAATTCTGCTGCCTTCCAGGATCTGCTCTGTGATTTTGAAGTATGTAAAGCTGCACAGAAAGAGATGATGATACTGGATAATGATTAATTCAGGTGCTGATAGCATACCTTAAATATTGAACAACAGCAAACTAGGTTGTTATCCCGAGAACTTACTAGTTCATATATAGTACAGTAAAGCAGCTGAGCAGCAAG